CTCTCGTTGTCTATATTTCTTTTTTTTTTTTTCATATATCGCCATCACTCAGTGATTTTAGGCTTCATTTGGGACATTTTTTATTATTTTTTAAATTAATTTTTTAGAATAAACATTTTTTGAGCTAATAATAAAGCAGCTGAAAGCTATCCCAAACGAAGACTTAATTTTTTTTTTTTTTTTTTTTTTTTCTTTTTTTTTGGTGTTTGATATTTTTTACAAGCTTCCATCAACATGGCCTTGACTTTGTTGGATTTCATGTGTTTATCCATGGAGAATCAATCCCAAGCAATCATTAGTGTATCATTGAATGGGATTTTTCCACTTCTTTAGCTTTTGTTTAGTTATTTAAATAAGATAGAAAAAGTTTCAATTTAATCAAGTTTGAATTCGGGTTTGTTCGGCTCGACCATCATAATTGGTCATATTTAGAGCGAGGTCTGAAACGGTTGGTTTAGTGCGAATTTATAGATAAGTTAGGTTTGTATGAAGTTGACTAGAATTGGCTCTCTTGTAGATTATATTGGTGGAAAAATCCCACCATTTCGACCATGCATATCTTGTTTTCCAATGGTACAAAACAACTAAAATTCAGACAAATTCTGATTTATCAATCTTTTTGATCGTTTCCCGTCATTCACATTACGAACAAATTAAGTTTGGTCTTTTTTTTTTTTTGTTAAAATTCACATAGGGGCCTACACATTAAATAAAATGGAAGGTTACAAGTCCTTCAAAGATATAGCAGCTCACTGAAAGATACAATCTTTGAAGAAAAACCTAAGAGCCAACAGATCTTTACTATTACAATCAATACTAGAAAAAAGAAAAAGAAGCCCAACATAAAACAAATTGGCTCAGAAAACTCACCAACAACCTAACATGATCACAAAAACAACACAGAGACAACACTATCACAGGCCAAAATAACCCACGAAAGAGGACCCAGCAGCCCCTAGACAAGAAAAACCCAAACAAAGGTGAAGAGAAAATCCCAAACTCATTTCTTTTTAGATTTCTTCCGTTTAGATTGATTAAGTTTTTTTTTAAATAACCATCATCATCAATTTGAATCACATTAAGATCCTATATTTCCTTGGAGTGCATCCCATGCACCTCACTCGGTTTCCTAGCATCCCAATTAGATGCAGAATCACAATCTTCAAGCCAATCACCTTGAGCAGCCCCATTGTCGTCCGAATAAGCAGTTATGCGAACATCAATGAGAGGAACACGGTTCGAAGTAACATGCTTAGCACCATCAAAAGCACCAACACCATTAAAAGCCTTAGCATCCGGTCGAACCCCAACACATGAAGAGTTAAATTTGGCCTTATTTGATTAAGACTTGTAATAATAGGGTTTATCATATTCTCATAATAGTTTGTCTACTTAAAATGTATTTTTAATAATAATGATGTAATAATATAAATTTATGATAAAAAGTGAATTTAGTTCACATTTAATATAACATTTGTTCTTATATAATTTATAAATTTAATATAAATTATTGTTAATTCGTATTATTAGTCTAAAAATAAATTAATAGTTTAAGAAGATATACTTAATTCACATTATAAATTTACGTCAAATCATTATTAATTGATAAGTAGATTATAAGTAGATAATAAATTAATCATATGCAGTGTATAGTTATATATATATATAAATTTAATAGATAACAATTAAATATTATTAATTAAAAAGTTAACTATTATTTACATTATAAAAGACTAATTAAAAATATATTTATAAATATTTAGTGCATTTTTATTAGTAGGAGTGTCAAAGTAGGGTTGCGGGTCGGGTCCTGATCGAACCCAATTTTGGCCTGTTACTATTTGATACGACCAGAATCCGATCCATTTTTGTAGAAAGGACAGAAATTCAACCCAGACTTGACCCGATGCGAAACCACAGTTCGAGTATGCAAGATTTGGCCGAAGAAGCCCACAAATGGGAGAAAATGGTTACCTTTGGATCAAGCAAGCTCCCTCCTGTCGTCGTTACTTCCAATCCAACAACAAAACAATGAGCTGTCGTCTTCCGACCCAACAGGAAGGAACGTCGTCGAAGGAGGCGGAGTTTTATTGACTCGTTCAAAAATTTGCCTCACGACAGTGAAGCAGGCGAAGTCGATTAGATACGAATAACAAGGGAAGAGGAAAAGCAAACCCTAGGCATGCAAGACTACGCTTGCGAGAGCGCAGGTGGACTGGCGGAGGCGCGGGACTATGCCTGGGCAAGGGAATAGTGTCAGATATGGGACAACTTCCAGTAAGCAGGTTGACCCATACCCAACCCAATTTTTCAAATGGTTCAAATTTTGGAAAACGAACCTGACCTTTTTTTTGTAACGAACCTGACCTGTTTGTCAAACATGTTGATCATAACCCGAATTTTTTTTATCAAGTTCAGGTCGAGTTTTCGGGTCATGTCAAATATTGAAACCTCTAATTATTAACTTAGAGAATTTTAACTAAGTTTATTAGTGCCACATCACTTGGAACTTTATCTTAGTATTGTTTATATATTATTTTTTATTTCTAGTGCATCTCATGGATGCCCATATAAGGTGGTGGGGTATATGACAAAAGCCATCATTTATCCCTTCCTCAAGAGTGGTGAGCCTCAGGGCCTTAGGCCTACATTAACTAAGGTTAGTGCACAATTTTGTACCTTTTAAGCTCTTTTGCTTGGCTTAGGGTTAGAAGTGTTGGACTCCCTCCCTTCTATTTAATGTTCCTTCATAGGCCTTAGGTAAATTTATTATGATTAATTAGAACAATTTGATTGAATCAATTTTCAATTGGGCCAATTAGGTTTGTATTAAACGGGTCAAATTTCGATAAAATGAGTCGTGTTGATCTAAAAAAATTGCATGACCTACATAATAAATGCGATAAATGAGTTGAGCCTAGTTCAGGTTAAATTATTTGACCTGTTTAGTAAATAGGTCGAGTTCAGATCAATCTTACTCAGGTCAAGGCAAATTTAGATCAGGCACGAATACAATCTGCAAACTTAATTGACACTAAAACAACTTTTATCATAAGTACCGCATCAATGTGGTCGCAATTAAAAATTAGAGTAGTAAGAAAACTATACCAAACGAAATCTTTATTTTCATTAGAATAAGGATAGACAGAGTTACATCTCAAGTTCACAATGATAAAGAAAGAGAAGTTGTTGCGTCTAAAGCACTAAAAATATAAAATTCTTGAAGGTTATGTGTCAAATATTTCTAGTCTTCTAATTCTAAATGAGTCTAAGATAGGGACGCCGAAGAGTCATAATTGTCATATTTTTATCAATTTTTTTTTCTAGTACCCTTAAATTTTATGATCTATAAGAAAAAGTTGGATCATTATTATGAAAATATCATAGTTTCTAAAACTAATTTGTGTTAGAGTTATTAAATCAAAGTAGGGCTGTCAAAATCGGTCACGGGTTGGGCTTAGGTCCAACCCGGAACTAACCCGACACAAGTTAACCCGGCTTGAACCTGACCCGTTCTGACAAACGAGTCATTTTTTGGGACCCGGATCAACCTGACATTACCCACAAATCTGAGAATACGACGTTTGACGAGGGCGACATCGTTCGTCCCAGAGGCGGCGGCGTTTGGTGAGGGTGGATACAAGTCTCGGTTTCACTTAGTCTTGCTGTTTGGCGACGACGTTCGGTCTAGGACTACTGAAATGAATTTGAGAACGGTTGAAAAATTGCGGAGCGGGAGATGCGTCGACAACGTGACCGTTGACTCACTCGAAGAGACGTGACTCGACTCGATTCAACGAGCAGGGTGGGAAGCAGATTTGGGCAGACGCGTTTTTAGGTCATTTTTGATTCAGTTCCGGGTGTCTGGATCAACCCAATCCCGATCCGATTTTTAAAACGGATCAGTTCATTGATCCCGAAACCGACCCATTTCACAAACGAGTTAACCCTAATCTGAAATTTTCGGATCAGATTCGAGTTGGATTTTCAGATCGTGTCAAATATTGACACTCTTAATCCAAAGTAAGCTTGAGAAGTTTATAATAATATATGAATGAATCTTATGCATATATCTAAAGATATTTCTTATCATCATTCCTCACGATCATGAATTATCTACTTAATTATCCACTTAGAAGATAAGTAATCATTTTTTTTTATCACGATAGATCTCAATTTTATTAGATTTATTTTGTGGTGAATATTATCGGAATTTTGATTAATTTTTATAAATAACATTATCTCCAACAAAATTTAAGAAATTTTAAATATTGTTTTGATTAAATTTTAATCATAATATTCTTAATCAAATTTATTTTAAAATTGTAAGTCACATAAAAATTATTAGAATTGTCATCACAACTTTCACCACCGGCAAGGCAGCGACATCGTCAACGAGCACTGTCGCTGTCTTGCCGGTGATCATCGTCAGCGTTGCTTAAACAATTTTTTTAATATTTAATAAAAATAAAAGTATTTTTTAATTAATAAATACTTTTTATTTTATATAAAAATATAAATAAAATAAAAAATAATAACAATAAACCATCCTACACTACCTTAAGATTTGCACTCGAATTCTTAGCACACTGTTTATATACAAATTTGAGAATTTTGACCTAAAAGACATCTCTAATCGAACTGCATACACTCATTTGCCGTCCGCCATTCGCTCCACCTTAACATCAAATCACACACTATATTCGTGAGCTGAACAGTGCAATGTCAATATTAGAGTCGCACTATTCGCCGAAGCCAAATCACACATGTTTGAATCAAGAGAAGGCGTTGCGACAGCATGAATATAAGAAAGAAAATACACATAATATTCATTTTTGTGTAAGAAAATGGAGTTCGATTGGAGTTCAGCTGCTGCATTTTAGAGTATTATTATATTTTAGAGTGAGAGATCTAAGAATGTGAGCAGCAAATTAAATGGAATTAATTAAAATAAAAATCAAATTAATCAGTAAAACAGAGCTTGTAAAAGTAAATCATCATTTAATCTCATTACTTCTGAATATTAGATGCAAAAGAAAAATTAACAGAAACAAAAATAATAAATACTCAAGAGAAGAAACTCGACAGATCCCCACGCGTTTCTTTCCGCAAAAGAGTTCGCTTTGCCGGCCACCGCCAACTTTCCACCGCCGCGGCGAACGTTCAACCACTGCAGCTGCAGCTGAAGCATGGAAAGTGAAGAGAGAGAGGGAGCTTCTGGGTGAAGAGAGTGGGGACAAAACGCACAAACAAACGCTTGGATGAATCCTTGGTCTAGAACAGCAGCCCCTGCCGCAAGGTCCACCTAATCGCGGCAAGCCCGGCGATCACTGCCACCGCAGAAAATAGCCGCGCAGGGGCCACCGCACCGCTGGTAACCGCGCCCAAAAACACCATTGTGTCGTTGATCAGCGGCACCCCCGTAGCTATAGGGTTGTTTGTACGTACCTTCAGGCTGCAACAATTCATTTCAATCAGAAATTTTGCTTTTTGAGCTTAATGTGAAGTAAAATCATGCAGAAAGCCTGCAAATTTCCTGTGCTGAAGTAAAATCACGAATCGCTGATTAAGATTCTAGCCATCAAGGTTGATTGATCATACCATAAATAGCTCAAGTGTTCACTAATGGAGAGAAAAATGTGATAAGATTATAGTCGGTGGATTACAGTAACCCAGCTGAAAAGCTAAATATAGAGCAAAGAACGGAGACAGAGAAAAGAGAGTAAAGTTGGAAAATTTAAAGCGGTGACAGTCCAATCGAATTAAAAAAAAAAATTAAAAATCGCTTTTTTAATCGAAATCTGTTCAAAATTTGAAGTTTTTTCTTCAAAGTGAGATAACATCACGAATCCCTCTTTCGAATTCAAGCCACTGTAATGAAGAAAGATATGATAGAGAGAAAGTAAAGACAGATCAGAAGAAGCAGCAGCAGGGGGAAGAAGAAGCAGAAGCAGGAGGAGGAGAAGAAGAAGAAGAGAATTGCTGGTTTCAATACCTAGAAGAGCTGGGGCAGAAGGTGATGAGGTAATTAACGCCGGTGGCGCAAGTAAAGGTAGAAGTCGCGTCGTCATAGGCGTAGCTGTAAGCTCGCGGGCAGGCGTTCTTGAAAATCAGAGAATAAAACGACGGCTTGCAAGTGTTGGGGTTTCCATAATCCCCACTGCAACAAAACTCCGGCTTGTCAAACGCCTCACAGGCGCTCCGGCACGCCACGCTCTCTCCGTCGGACTCGGAGAGAACCACCCGAAGATCCGACGGGCAGCGATCATTGATGTCCACCACGCATCCCGTCGCCGTGCAATTCCCACCGCCGCCGCCAGCGTCCGCAGGGGAAATGAGCATGGGAAGGTTGTATCCATCAACGAGGCTGACATCGAAGAAGTCCATGCCGCCGGCGCCATCGAGTGTGAACTCAGCAAGGGTGGCAGGAGGGGAGGCACCGTCGCCGGAACAGTCTGTCTTGCCGGAGCCGCAGTCGCCTGTAGCGCAGGAGAAGAGGCCGGTGTTGGTGTCGTTGGAACAGTGAGTGCGGGCCCAGAGCCGGCCGGACCAGGAGGTGGGGACTTGAAGAGGAAGCGACTCTCCGCTATGAAGAGAGAAGCCGGTGGTGTCGAGTGGAGCCGTGCCGGCGCTGGATAGAACGCCCGGCCACACCGTGTAACCGCAGTTGTTGGTGATTGTGAAAGTTGTGCAGATCAAACCTGCATCGGAAATGGAATCAGATTAAAAGAAAGAGTTTTGTAACAGGGGATTTGGTGAAAGACTAACCGGGAGGTAAGGAGAGAAGAGTGAAGACGGAGAAGAGTAGCAGAGACTGCAATTTGGCCATGTGGAAAGCTTTCCTTCGAGGCATCGCCGATAAGCTTGGACCATCAAAAGAGGGCGTGGGATGGTAAAAGAGGATGACTAATGGGGTTTTTATAGAAGCGGTAAAAATATGGTTAAAATATTTTGATTAAAATAAAATTTAAAATATTTATAATTGGCACTTTTAAATAAATTTTAATTCATTGGCACCAACTTTGATATGCTATTTATATTCAACATTTATAGAATTAAATTCAGAATTATCTGAACTTTGAGTTTAGTAAAATTGAGCGTTGTGACGTGACAAATCTGACCATAAAAAAATATATGATTTTGATTCAAATGAGCTCAAATTAAGTGCAAATAATATAATTTTGAACTTCAGGGCATGAGTTGAAAGATCAAATGGTTTTAAAATTTTGCAAGGTCACGTCGAGAGATTCAATGAGTCACTCAATTCTGAGGACATTAAGGCACATAATGTTCTATAGTCGAATGATTCAATATAAGCAGTCTAATGGAATGTTTTAGAATTTTAGCTGAAATTATTAATATGTCACTCTCAAAATACTAGATTTGATTTTAGAGAGATTATGGAGACCCGGGGAACTCTACATCTCTAACTTATGTTCAATGCTGATGATCACCATTTTTTTATGCTGATGATCACCATCAATCACTAGTATTGCTTGACTACCATCATCGAAGCATTGTCATCTGACACCCATCATTCAATCACCAACGATTAACTACTATTACTTGATTTGCTTCATATAATTATCATTACTTAATCACAATTATGTGATTAATAAAATTCATTCATCATCATCCAACCATCATTGTTTGGCTTCAACCACCAGACCATCATTCTCTGACTATTTTCGCCTGACCACCATCATTTGATTACAGTCACTCAACTAACATCATCCAATTATTGTATCTCATATATTTTCTCTCATATTTGTATCATGATAAATTTGTATTATATATTTTGTAATCACATTTTTTCTAAATTGAGGAAATGAACAGTCTCTTATATCCTATCAGCATAGTGAATCATTTCATCTAAGCAAAACCCTATATATATTTTTTCTTTTAGGTCTTTTACACGTAAGAATTTTGGTGTCTATTGTATTTTTTTATTATCTCTTTGTGTGTTAGGTACGCATGAAAAATTAGGACATAAAATTCTCTCTTTATTGTAGTGAAATTTTAGTGCACACTAGTTTGATGACGCGCATGGGAAAATATGCCAACACCCTAGCAACATAATTTTAATTGTTAACATGAGTAATACCAGTGATGGATTATCTCATTCCAACACTCATCATATTACAAAATTATTTGGACCAAGGACATCACAGTCAGTGAAGAATAGCCCCCTGAGACTTAACTATAGAAGATCCTATATGCAGGATGGAAAAGAAACAAGCTCGAATCCTACAATTATTAGAGGTGTCTGATCAATAAATAGTATAACTACAAAATGATATGTTTCGTAAGCTATAAAATCAAAAGTAGATTAGGGTTGGATAGTTTGAAGATGTTATGAAGGAGATACCCTCATCATCATATTAAAGCTTCTCCTCCACTACATTCTAATCCATAATATGGTGACATTGCTAGTTCAATTCATCTTTCTCATGAGTCTTGGCAAACTCGAATTCCTCCACTAGCCTTAGTAGACTTGACCTGACCTCAACTTATGGATATTCTTCGCAACTTTATTTGAGATGAACTATGACTTCTTATTCAAGAGTAATTTCCTATGAGAGATAGAAATCAACTTACTCTTTGAAGTAGCCTTGAGTAGTCTTCACCTCTAATAAATGAAATTTTTTAGCATCCAGTTAAATTCAGCATCTTTACAAGATAAGTCGAGCAATATTAAAAGTAATTCAATTTGAGTACAAATGAACCCAAATAAAACACTTAAATATAAAAAATAAAAAAATAAAAATAAAAAAATAATAATAATAAATTCAAGATATTGGTTGAAGGATCAAAAGATCTACAAAATTGGCATGTTTAAGTCAAACCAACTGGTTTGAAGAGATAAATCAAACGAAGAGATTAAGGCACATAAATACTCTATGAATCATCTTGATCAAATAATTCAATATGAGCGGTCCAAAGGAATGTTTTATGACATTTTGAATGTTATTATCAAAATGTCACTCCCAAATACTATAAAAAACTTTATTCCCCCCATGAATGAGACATATGTTGGTGCTTGGAAAGAGCTTGGAGATTTGAATAACTCTAAAGTTCTACTTAACTTTCAACACTCGATGATCACTGCCAGCTAGGGCTGTCAATAATTGACACGACCCGAAAACCCGACTCGAACACGACCTGGAATTTTTGGGTTGGACACGACATCAATTTTTTTTCCAAAAAAAAGGTAAAAATAAACATTCATTCTATTCACTCTTATAAATCCACATCAATTCACTTCATCCAAAATTTTTAATTTAAAATATTATTTTAATAAATTAAATTATTACTTTAATAAAAACATAATTTAACCGATCATTATTTTACAAAATAAAATGATGACATAAAATTTAATTGAATTATCTTTTTATTTAAAAATAGAATAACTTACATTTTAAGTTCATTTTAATTCAAGATATTTAAATCAACTTTTTTGATTGGCTAACAAGAAATATATTGTGTTAATCGAACGTTTTTAATACTATTAATAAGCATAGGAAGAAGTTTTAATTAACTGAATATGGGATGAGGATGAATATTACAATAGAATGTATGTGAAAAAAATAAAAAAGTAGAAACAGTTAAAAAATGCATTAGTGTTTTGGTAGCTTAAAAAACTTAGGATTAATTTAGGATAGCTTTCTTACTGTTTTCTAAAGCAATTTTTTGGTATAAAAATTTTGAATTTTTATGCTAAAAAATTGCTTTAGAAAGCGGAAAGAAAGCTGCTCCAAACGAAACCTTAATTGAAATAAAAATGATTTTTGTCTCCGATCATTCATCTTAAATCAAGCAACTCAAAAGTGCTTAACTGACTACTAATTTTGCTTCGAAAATTAATTTTTAAGTTTATGGGATCCAAATGATATAAATTTATTGATAAAAAAATGATCTTAATGACCACAAAAACATCAAAATTAGAGCACTAAATTAGCCTAAATTATCATATCATAGTTAAGTTAAATTTAATCGATTTGATTAATCTTTCCTCATATGCAACTCTTCTCGCATACAAGGATGTGCCTCTGGGAGTTGGGAGTTGGAAGGGTTAGGGTTGATTGGCAACTCATCCTCTAATTGTTGACCACCGTCATAAACCCCTCAACATCCACCCATGCTATCGTAGTTTCCATGGGTTGTTTTGACCTATCTAAATGCAAGTCAATCCACAATTAATTGTCTATGAACGAATGATGATATTTGATTCATACATTGTTTATAATAAGAAGTATTCATACATTGTTGATAAAAATATCCCTATCAAAATTTAAGCTCCCAATCATACTCATTTAGGGCATCAAGAGTTGTAGGATTTTCTTATCATAGTGTAGCGCAACGATAATGAGAAATTTTATGAGCAACTCGACAAAGATGTGTCATATTTGAAAAAAATTTAGCATTCTTCAGTCTATTGAAAACACATCTCAAGCTGATCTTCTCAGCCTTATAAACTTCCATCAAGTTAATATCGATATAACATTGAAGCCCCCAAACCACAAGACCGAAAAAATGGCCACCCATCTCACAAAACCCCAATGACCTCTTTTGCTTTAACCTCTTGGAATGTAAGAGGCTTTCATGGGACTAATAAAGTCCTCATTAGCAAATATCTCATCAGATCTTATAATATTGACATTTTTTTGCATTTTGGAAGCTATGGGGGATAGATAGTCTTGCCATTTCCAAAAACTTTATAAAAATGAAGGAAATTTGGACAACTTTAGCTACTCGATCCCATCAAGTTAATATCGTTATAACATCTAAGCTCCCAAACCCACAAGGCCAAAAAAAAGGCCACCCATCTCACAAAACCTCAATGACCTCGGGTGCTTTAACCTCTTGGAATGTAAGAGGCTTTCATGGGACTGATAAAGTCCTCACTAGCAAAGATCTCATCAGATCTTATAACATTGGCATTTTTTTGCATTTTGGAAGCTATGGGGGATAGATAATCTTGCCATTTCCACAAACTTTATAAAAATGAATGAAATTTGGACAACTTTAACTACTCTATCCTAGGTAGGATTTGGATTAAATGGAACTTTGACTCCATTAACTTTCAACCCATATACTTTAATAACCAAATAATCCATGGCCACATCACATGTTCTTCCGCCACAATAATCCTCTCATCAATAATCTACATAGCCAATTCCTATAATATTAGAGCCAACCTTTGGAATAATATTACCAAATTTACTTCTAATATTAATCACCCTTTGGGAAATCCTAGGAGATTTCAACTATTATAGAGACCATAATGAAAATTTAGGTGGAAATCATATTACCAGCTACAACTATTGGGAGCTTAATAACATGATCTTTGAATCAACTATCAAAGGCATGCCATTTGTGAGGCTTTCTTATACTTGGCAGAACAATATGGTAGATAATCCCATCCATATTAATTTGGATTGTGTCCTTGTGAATGAAATTTGCTAAGAAACGTTCCCTCTTTCCTACTACAAAAATGATCATCCAAATGTTCTGGCCATTTTCCACTAATTTTCCACACCACCTCGATCCATCACCAAATCCATGCATAGATTTCTGTACATGAATTATTGGGCCAATATCTTGCGCTCGAATTGCCTTTCCAACGCCTCTGATGAGCCTATTAGCTCCTTGCACAAAAAAGTTTTAAGATATGAGACTTTATATCAAATGATAGAAGTGTACAACCTCCAATAACATCTCTGCTAAAATTAAATTCCTTGAGGAACAACAAAGTCACTACATTCAAAGCCTACAATGTGAACCTCTCAACCCTATATTCAATGCACACATCAAAGAAATCAATACTTCCTTGTTTGCCTTCTATTCCACTTGGTTCTCCTGGGAGCTCTAAAAAGGTAAAACTAAGTAGCTAT